AATGTATAATTACATAACTGAATAACATCTGCACAACAACTGCTCAAATTATTTTTTCAACTAAAATTTTCTTTTATATACCATTTTTGAATATTTAACTAATTCACTGTAAATAAGTTAAATATTCAAAAATGGCGACTAAAGTCATCAATTGTGTTTTTTACCAGGGCGCGCTTGGGAGCGAGCTTGCGTACTTTGAGAGAAATCGTTTTGGGACGCCGCTATGCTTTAAGCGAGGCGCAAACCGGAAAATCATCTGCAGCTCCCACTTTGACAACAGATTGCGAAAGAGCGAAAAAAGATAGAAACACGCTGATTCTTCCTGATATAAGAAGCGAGTCTACTCGTTCTTTTGGTCGTTTTGGTGTTTACATGGTCACAGAGCACAACATTTTGTGTAAACAAAATTTCAGTAAAAACGTTTAAAAAAAGGGCAGTCAGAGGCTTCCTGTTCAGATAATGGCTCAGTGGGTTAATACTTGGTCAGTGTACTGATTTGTTTAGTTTGATGTCTGATTTTAGCACTGGGCGGTGCATAAAAGTACGACTTAACAGTTGGTTAAATTCAGTGTTCAAAATCTTTGTCAGCATTAGAAATGTCGTGCATCAACTGATGCCATTTTAGCATGAAAGTAGATGTGAGACTTGAAAATCAGCCCCAAAAAATCTGCGGCACATATCCTCTACATATCGGTATCAGTATTGGCAATAGAAAAACCAACATCGGTTGACCTCCTCTTCAGGCGGCAGGTTTTGGGGTCTTATTTCCTGACATTTGGGCATCTCGCCCCAGATTGGATAAGAGCAATGCGGCTCTATCACTGACTTGCATTGTTGATGTTTTATCTCCATAAATACCACAAGCCTACAGGATTTCTGCCGTGTGGTTAAGTTGCTAATGCTAATGGTTAGCTTCTAGTAGCTTAGATGTTCTCTGTCGTTTTCTGGACGCTAAACAAACAATAGCTTTCACCGTCACGAGTCAAAATGGGCGAGTTAAGTGACAGTGTGACGTAGATCTCTCAGACTTTTCTAATCCTAGAGTTTAAATGTCCATTTTCTATCAGAAGCTAATGCAGGAGATAGATTTAGGAGACTATTTTCATGTTTGGTCTGCATGAAAAACTCAGAGTGACTGATTTTGATCAGAAATAATTAAAAAAAAATTTCAGTGATCAGCATCTTTAAGCTATTTCAGATTTTATCTTTGTCATATGCTCCATCAACGTCATGCAAACAAAGTGATTCATATCATAAAGTAGTCCAGGGGCGGATTTAGGACTGAAGAAGATCCGGGGCTTAACACACACGCGCGCGCACACACACGCGCGCGCACGCGCACACACACGCATGCGCGCACACACGTGACACGCACTAGTCAACATCATATATATTTGTCTTGTACCACATAATGTTTAATCTGAAGCTACATATTCAGCATATTCAGGGCAGAGTATTGTTCCTGTTAGTGTTTAGTGTGAGATGATAGTGAATATTCCCTTTCTTTCTCCAACAACTTTACCTGATAGTAAGCTAACTTTAGGCAAACCAGCAGCACAACAAATATTTTCAAATAAGACTCACAAACCTGAGTCAACACCAGTCTCATCAGAGCTGGGGTTCTGTCGTTGTACTTTTGGTCTAAAAAAACGTCCTTATATCCATCTTCACTCATGCGTTTCAGACAGAGACTGCAGAAGCCAGCTGCTGAACGGCTTCTCTTCAGTCTCAGGTAAACTGTATACTGACTAAGTAGCCTAGTGGTAGAGTGTCTGCCCTGAGATCGGGAGATCAGGGGTTCGACTCCTGGTTGGGTCATACCAAAGATTTTGAGAAAAATGGGACCCAATGCCTCCCTGCTTGACACTCAGCATTGGATTGGGGTTGGATTGGGGGGTTAAACCACCAAATAGTTCCCGGGCGTGTCTGCAACTCAGGGGATGGGTCAAAATCGGAGAATAAATTTCACCACGACTAAATGGGACTTTACAAACTACTGCCAGCTGCGCCCTCTCTGTGTGACTTTGGTACTGCATGTAACTTCCGCGATTTAGATCCGGGGCTTATCATGAAAGATCCGGGGCTTCAGCCCAAGTAGCCGGGCCTAACGCCGCCCCTGAAGTAGTCTCTTTTATTTTGTAAATTTAACTTTCAAGGTTACTTTCTGTTAAACAGTTTATTTGCATATTGTCAGCAGTGACAGTAAAGGCCCTGGAGCAGTTTGGTGTTGTCTGCATGAATGAGTCATTCTAAAACTTTCACGACATATGGGGTTAGTTTGTCTTCTTTTGTAAATGTTCACAAACTACATACTTTATGCATTTTATTTTTGCTAAGAGGATCATTCTGTTTCACATTCTTGATTTTTTGTGCGTTTTCACCATTAATCCAGTCATTTATCCTCATGCCCATCATCTGAAATGGCATTTACAGCGTTAAACTTCAAAGTCAACAACAAATGCTCTTATGTGCCAGTGCACCCTTACGCACTCACTCAAAAACACATATGCCACGCTAACACGTACACAGCTGTACTCCCGGCCAAGCATCCAGATGTGAGCACACACACACACACACACACACACACACACACACACACACACACACACACACACACACACACCATGAAATCCCTAGCAGATTAGTTGTTGTTCTTATGTAAAATGGATCAAGCAGCCAGCGTATCTGCAGAAACATCGACAACCTGTTCAAATATCCACCAATCAGGTGCTGATAAAACTACCGGGATCTGAAATGACATGGGAGCTTTCATGTGTCGTTTCTAAGGGGATTTAAAATGTGTCTTTTATTGCACGCATGCTTTTTCTCTTGTTCTGTTGCTATTTTTTATAATAGACTTGTTGAACCTGCTGCAGAATCAAATGTGTGTGTGAGTGGAGTCTTTGTCACAATCATAGTGGTAAATGTAGCAGATGGATAAAAATCCACTGAAGCCACGGAAAATTGAAACAAACAAATGAAAAGAGCTAATATCGTGCAGCTTTAAATATCCGACTATCCAGTGTGTTTCTCACATAGTTGTACTTTTTTATTCTGATGCACAAATGGAAGAGCCTAGAATATGATGATCAATAAGTAAAACAAAGCAGAATAACAAAATCTGTCAATATATTTTAAGTTTGTCCTGCTGAGGTGCACCCCTCAAAATATTCAGTAAAAAAAGCAAAGTTTGACCCTAATGTGGCATCCCAATCACTTTAATAGAGGGTGATGGTTTTCGCAGCTAAAACTTGGATAGATCTGCTCAAAAACTGACCAGCTGCAGCCTCGCTCCTCTAGAGGACATTCAGAACCAGAGCTGAGAACATGATGTTGGACCCCACCCATCCAGCCCAAGAACAGTTCATCCTCTTTCCTTCGGGCACAGGATGAGCAGCCTCAACAACCCATGTTCTATAATCTCTGCTCTTTAATAACTTTATTACTGACAGACCTACGGTGATGAGTGGACCAACACGAGCTAGGGTTCCCCCCTGAGGCAGAAATGTGCTTCCTCTCACTTATGATTGATTCTTTTTTTCTTTTTAACAGTTAGCTTGACTAACTGGACAAACTACATTTATAGAGTAAGTTTCTGAGAAAATTGATCAAAACAGTTAAGTGAAAATCATGCGACCTTGTTGTGACACTAGAGGAATGTCTTTGCTCCAGCATCAGATGCTTTATTATCTCCTCCTGAGGAGAGGCCCATGCAGCTTCACATTATCATCTCAATCTGTCACCTCCCTGCAACACCCCTGAACAGCCAGTCATAACCCCCACTGAGGAAATCAGACATAGCCTGACTGACAAGAAGATGCAAACAAATCTGAATTTGGATCGTTTTTTCTGATTGGAAATTAATCAAAAGTAAATAAGACACCCATAGCATTGGAAATGAGCCTAAAATTTACATTTGCTACCTCCTCTGAATGGGATAGATATGTCTTAAGCATGAATATTTAAAACTCATTTTCCCAGGATGCTTAAATAAGAAAAATGGGGCAAATTTACCAAGATCAGCTGAATATCTAACGGTTTTCTCACTTTTATTTGATACCTTCTGCATTTTTAACCTTAGAGAACAGAGAGAACTCTGCGTTGGTGCTTTTAAGCTCCTGTCTGTCGGTTTCCCCTCATCGATTAGAGGTCATCCGTTTACCGGCACACCTCTCGGTCTTACCTCAGCGTTTCCGAGCTGCAGACGGATCGTTAAAAGCGCAGCCAGCAGCAGCATCAGGATCCAGGACCTCATGTTTCTGCCCAGCCCGAGGAGCCGCAAGCGACCGGCTGGGCATTTAGTACCCCTGAGTCCAATCCCACCACAGCTGCACCGAGCCTCGCGTCCCGGTGTCGTGTGCCGGTGGCTGGCGCAAAGCGCGCACCCTTTAAATATCCTGATCTGTCAGTGCCAGTGAGCGCTGCTTGTCCAAATGTTTGCTCACGGTGACTCACGCGCAGGACAGACGTCTGGTCTGACTCCGTCAGGTTTATATCAAAGGTGAGAGCAGTGCGCAACGCACGCTGAATGACACACGGTCCTTCGGTCTCTCCGCTGGTTGTATCCAAAATCAGCTCACGAGGGACTCCGTTAGCATTCCCATCCAAGCATGGTGGTCCTCAAAGTGTGCCAAAGTGGTTGGTGCATCCCTTTTTCCATAAAAATCAAGAAAACAGGTGAGTGTTTAGGCTCCCGCTCCAGGATCACATTAAGAGCTTTTCTGGTCACAGCTAGACACCATCATCCTCTGAAGTCTGTGCGTAAAAGCTGCTTCGCCTTTTCGGAAGAGGCGCTCCGTGCGTTATTCTAACACTAGCAGGGTTCTTTTAAATAATACGAGTTTAATCTGAGACTCTCTGGGTAAAAAACGGCTCTCTGCAGGTCCCGCACTTGTCTCTCCGCGTCCCTGTCCTTCGCGACTTCCCTCATGTGTTGGATCAGGTTGCTGTCGCCCCGCGCGTCTGTCCGCTCTGGTTGCGTCTGGTGCGGTGCAAAGCTTTGAGCGGGAGCTCAGGGCCTCCCCCTGAACTTTTTGTGTGTCAAGCAGATGTTTGGAATAAGAACTCAAACCGGAAACTGATTGCTTTTGACTTTCAGAATAAAGTCACAATTAAAACGACAAGCTGGTGAAAGAATCTGAGTTTGACATCAAATGTAAAACTTATAAAGAAATTTTTAAAGAAAGTTTCATTTAAAGTGTGCTTTTAGACCAAAACATTACAAATGTTATACTAACATGAACAATATGCACCATTAGTTTGGTTATACCATGAATTCAATCAAATATTCATATACGATTTTATACATTGCTGGTACACCTTTTTTAACCATAAAACACGTGATGTTTTAATGAAAGCTTGCTCCAAATGTTCCACAAACAAAATTCTTTGATGTAACAAAACTCATCAGAAATAGTTTCTGTATTTTTAAAACGACACATTGATGACCACGGCTCTGGTTTCGATCTCTTCTAACCTATTCAAACTTACTCGTTTATCCGTTTGCGCTTCTTCTGCTCATGGAGCCGTGTCCTTATTGGGTGTAAAGGAAACAGCCCCATGGCTCATTTTAGAGAGAAATATTGAGCCCTAGATTATGATTATTCATATTCTAGACCTTCTCCTTTGAAAGTGTTCAAACAATAAGTTCATGGTTTTTGGTTTGCTCAGTGTGAAGTGACATTCCTTAAATACAATCCAGACGCATCAACTTTGTGAGAAAGAAAATAATATTTGTTGGATGTAAAATAAAGTTTGGGAGCACTCAAGGCATTAAAGGTGTTTTGTGTTAAAATAAACTCCATATGTCAGAAACTGAACTTTTAACACCTACAAATACAGCATTTTTCTTGCATTAAAGCAGATTTTTTTTAATCTGCTCAGATTATTACTTGGTTTGTCTGATGTGGGGCTGAAGAATTAATCCAACAAGCAGAAAGTTTAGACAATGACCGAACAACCACTCCATTGCTGGACCTGTATTCCCTTCTTCTTCCAGAAGAAGATTAGCTTCCAATCTTGTCCTTTGGATTTTCTCAGAAAGACCAGGAATAAATTTCAATTTTCAGATTTTTTTATTTTAAATGCAATAAAAAAAATTCACCTGTCAAATAGAGATGTCACGTCTCACTGAACATTAAAAGATGTAAAGAGGATGCTCGCCTTCTTGCTCGTGCACATATTTGCTCGTTTGTACAGTAGCGTGATAGCAATGCCGATTCTTATCACGTGTTGTTTTCATGTTTGGGTCTGGGATCATTTGGTTTGCAAAGAATACAAAGCTTGGAAGCAAGTTACGGACACAGCATTTACAATTTCAGATAGCTCGTCAACACTTTGCATGCATTTAGAAAATTCTAACCTATTTTTGGACATAGTTGTGAGTCAGCATGTAAAAGGGCTGCAATTCTTTCCAAATCCAACTTTTGCACTGCTAAAACTTTTCTATTACATCACCACCTGCAACGGTTTGACCTGCGTCAAAGAGTTAAAATTGTGTTTGTTTTGAGCCAGAAGACAAATCATTTCCAGAGTTGACAGCGAGTGTTTTCCAGGAAGCTCCGTGTTTCATTTTAGGGTCACGGGTCGCCGTGGAAGCTGAATGTCAGAGGATTCTTCCTTTTCTGCAAAGGGAAGACAGAGGAAGGAGGCATCTCAATGTGGCTATTCCTGGACTACGGATACGTGCACGCACGCACACGTGCACACGTGAACACACAATTTACATGCAATTTTTTACCCTCATGTTTCAGCTTGGTGCTATTTTTGAATCACAGAGAGTTCTCAGTAGAAATTAAATTCTTATTTTGCTTGTTTTATTCGTAAAAGTATTTCTAAACAGGATTTTGTTATGCACAATGACTTGTTGGAGCTGAAAATTGTCATTTCAGAACTTTTACTTGACAATATATGTGTGCTTAAATATGCAATCTTCCAGTAAACAGAATGCAGGCCTGACTGAGAGGACACTGCTGTTACTGACAAGATGAAGTATGATCCCTCAACTCTGCAATGACTGCCGTGCTCTTCTCCGAGTGGGCGACAGCTTGTGAGCATATCAGGTTCACAGTGTTGCTTGCCATCAGTGCTCTAAGTTAAACACTCCTGGTATGTCACACAGTAAGAAGATGTATGCCACCGTGAACATGTGCAGGAGTTTCAGCAGGTGGAACAATATTAAACATCTCTATTACGTATAATGTAGTTTAAATGTCACTTCCACAATTTGCGTGATTAAAAAGATAAACACAAAGCCAAATAACACAATTAAATAACGTGACCTAAAATAATTTTTTTCTGCAAGTGTGTTATTTTTCACTAATCATGCTTTTGAGCAAGTTTCAATCATGATGAAGTACGAGTTTCAGTAACTTCCAGAATGAGTCATTTCTGGGTCTCTTTAATAAACAAGTGCTGGCTATGGCCACCGAAACCCCCCCCCCCCACCCCCGCCCAACAGGCTGCTACAAGCTGAGAAACTCCGATATCCTTGGTGTGGAGCCATTCCTTCTCTTCTGCACACGAGAGGTGGTTCTACGCTAATTTCCCTGTTTGTGATGTCACAAACGGGGGTTTTATGAAACGACTTGTTTTAGACACATAATCCCTTAAATCACTGACAAAAAACTGATTTTTTTTTTCTTGTTTTGAGGCAGTAGAGACCCACATTGCAGCACAAAATGTGACTTTTGCATACTTGGTTTGTATCCTAAACATAACAATAGTAATCTTCTGTATTTCTCTCAAATATCAGTTTAAACCCCACTTCTAATCAGAACATTAACCAGTCAGGTATTAAATGCGTGCATTTTCTGTGCACAATTTAGTTTGAAGGTGTCTTCAAACTTTTTTTTCCGTGCTGTGTGAAGTTTTAAGTGGATCTAGGCTAACTTAATCTGAGAAACTCACTGGAATGTAGATCAAATGTAACCAGACAGCCAACAGAGTTAGTTAAATGGATTGAAACCGTCTCTGATTCTCAGCCTTTGAAGAGTCTGCTCCCACTTGCTTTAATTTCTTAGCCTTTTAAAACCTTCCTGCACGTGTGAGTATGTGTCAAGCTGTTAATTACCTTCCTGTCTAATATCCTGATCTAATTCAGAGAGCGAGGTTTTCCCCTCCTCTGTTTCTCTTCTTGCCAGCTTCCTGTGTCAGCAGAGCCTTTCACGGGATGAGGCAAACAGCCGCTTTCCTCCATCAAAGTTCACGCCCGGGACACAGACTCCACACACAACCTCTGCGGCTCGTTTTGATGTCGTCTGGACACTCGGGCAGGATTAAAACTTGATCAGTAAGTGCAGAAACATTTGGTAAATTAAAACCTACAGGATCAAACGGCATGCAGATGCTATTAGGTGACTGAACCAGTAAAAGAATGTGGATTGCAAAATGAAAATAAGCGTTTGAGAGGGAGTTTTCAAAATGTCTCAAAGAACTTACAAGAGTTCCCAAATGAAAGAACAGGGATACTTTGCAGCTTGTTCATATTTTTAAGTCATTTTCTTGAGCCAGTATGAGCCAAGCGACCATTTACAGGGTTAATGAAAGGCCACCCAGCCCCTGTTGATACCCCTGTGGCCAGAATATTCCATTTGCAACTTCAGAGTTGCTGGTCCGCTCTGTTGCTGACATACCTGACGCTGCAGTCTTCCAGCACGTTTCCTCCATGTTTTAGATAATGAACACAGCTGATTTGTTTGATTTAGTGATGAATCATTCCTGTAGACACTAAGGAAGACTGGGGAGACATTTCACTTTAGGAGTTAATGCAGCTGTGGCCATCAGACTCTGGAATCCACCCCACCCCCACCCGAGCCTGAGATCAGTGGACTCAGTGGTCTCCTTAAAAATCTGATGAAAACGTACCTGTTCAAGCAGGTTTTGGTGACCTTCATCACCACCCTCTCCTTATTCTGCTCTTTCTACTGCACCATTCCCAGGATTCACTGATTTCCCTCCTTCCTACTTATTTTCTCTCTCTCCTTACATTTTAATTCACAATATTATTTTCTCATTTTAACCATATTTTTAAATCATTTAAAAAAATTTGTGCATTTAAAAATTTTTGTTCGTGTGAAGTGCCTCGTGATTTTTATCTTGATGGTGCCATATAAAACTTTTTTTTTTGGTGGAATACTGCTACAAAACATTTTAAACAAGTAAAATGTATTGGAAAAAAATGTAAAGATAATCTACACAGTTAATGAGAGAAGGCCTGATTGAACAGGTAGGTTTTCAAATGAACACCTCCACAGAGTCTTAAAGACGGTGTTTCAGAAGCAAACTGTTCCACAATTTAGGAGCCAGACCCTGAAAGGCCTTTTGGTTTTCAGCCTAGTGTGCAAAACAGCTGGCAGGTTTTTAGATATGGATCAAGGGTTGGGTGAGGTCGTATGTGAGGATAGAAGCTGAGCTTGGTGGTCAGGGGCCTGGTCGTTCAGAGCTCTGTAGGTTTGAAGCACTTTAATAAATGTGATGATGTGAGTACACCTGCTGGATTTTGTTAGCAGCCTGGCTGCTGTGATTGAATGTTTTGAAGACGTTAGAGGGATCATTTGTTCACACCATTAAAAGAATATTAAACTAGTCTAAACATGAAAACTTAATGGACAACTCTTAGAGTTTGTACATTAGGCTTGGCTGATAAGTAAAAGGTAGAAACTGTTCTGTTTTAGGATGAAGTTCTGGAGGTGCAATGATCAGGGTCTCTGTTTTGTTGGCATTAAGAACAAAAATGTTGCTGGACAGCCAGTTGGGTCAGACAGAGAACAAGAGTGTTCTGTCTGTTCAACCACAGACATCCTATATGTAGACACCCATGGACCTGCACTGCCAATAAGGAGCCTAAGTCACGCCAATCTACTTCCTCACCATGGGTCCCCCGAAGAACTAAAAAAATGAATGCAAGTCAACGGGGCTAAAAATGCTATTTTCTAATTCTGCTTGTTTTGTGCCTTGGATTTCACATAGGATGTCCGTAGATTTTAAAGACACATTTTGA